CAGCTGGCTTTGATGGTCCTCAATGCGGAAATAAAATTTGCAAAACAAATCCAACTGCACAAAACGCTGTGGCTAGTTGTACTGCAGATCATTGTAAAATTAATTGCAACACAGGTTACAACTTCCCAGATGGAGCAACAGTTAGAGATATGAACTGCATATATAGTCATTGGATAACAGTTACATTTGACCAGAACTCTGATTGCCAGCGTGAGTGTCTATTTTCATTGATTGCAGAAAATTTCCACTCTTCTACGTCAATGACCATAGGTTAATTGCTTTGTCCCTGGTTCTCTAATTTCGTCATCATTTTGATTTTCTTAGCTGTCTGTAACTTACCTTGTTTGAATGGCGGACAATGCACCAAACCAAATACTTGCTCCTGTCCAGCTGGCTTTGATGGTCCTCAATGCGGAAATAAAATGTGCACAACAAATCCATCTGCACAAAACGGCGTGCGCAATTGTACTGCAGATCATTGTAAAATCACTTGCAATGCAGGCTTCAACTTCCCAGACAGTTCATCAGTCATGGATATGAGCTGCAAAAATGGCGATTGGGTATCAAATTCACCAAATCAAAACTTTAACCCTGATTGCCAACGTGAGTGTTATTCTCTATCAATTTTGAAGAGCTATCGTTGCTTTTCCGATTTTTTTCTCGTTACATCGATTCCAATTCAATGCCAATAGTTTCATAAATAATTTCTGTATGATTTTATTCACAGTGGAATGTAATGCGGGGTTCGTCTTCAACAATTGTGGCCCAAGAACTGAACGAACTTGTGCATCTGCTTACGAAGATAGATCCGTATGTGTTCCAGGCTGTTTCTGTCCAAATGGAATGATTAAACATAATGGCAATTGCATTCAATCAAATCAATGTCCATGCTCACGGAACGGTGTGGAATATATGGCCGGAAGTTCATCTACATTTGCCAGTTAGTTTTCAACCAATACAATATCGTTATTCGAAAAATGCAATCGTTAGCATGAAATTTAATAATTATTTCTGAAAACAAAAACTCTTTAGATGATTTTTCAACAAATGCCGAGGTATGTCAATGTAACAATGGGCAGATGGCTTGCACATCTCAAAGTTTCACAAGAAAACGTTGCACAGCCTGGGGCGATCCACATTTCACAACTATATATGGAAACAGTTATAATTTTATGGGACGTGAAACGTATAGCTACTTAAAAACTGATAACATAGAAATTGATGCCTACCTAGTTGGTTGGCCCAGTAAGTTTACACACTTTCAGTTTGGATTTAAGGAGAATTCAACAAATAGAAAAATAATATTTAATTACATTCAATATTCACAATAGATTCGTGGGATGCAGCTACAGTCACCGATTCAGTAACGATCAAAGCTAAATTCAACAATAAGGAGGCCACAATCAAGCTGATGAAAGACTTATATGTTCAAGTGAATGGTGCATCAAATTATTACTATCCGTTGATTCTTCTCGATGGCTTTGCGGTGATTAATAAGCCAAGTTCAAATCAAATTTCGGTGTCCTTCCAAAATGGTTTTATTGTATTTTGGAATGGTGCATGGCAAGTGGATATTGATGTGCCTTCGATATACTATGGCGGAATGTCCGGCCTTTGTACATCAGAGTACAGCAGACGCAGAAGATCTACCAATGCAGGAGATATAAAGGCTTGGCTTACTTCAATCGCTAAAAAATCGTGCATTGGAGAGAGTTGTAAAACTATTGAACAAGCTGTTAATGTACCTCATCCATGTGACTCGAATATGGAAACTAAGAAACGAGCAGAAGGACTTTGTGCAAGACTTAAGAGTGACACTTTCAGAAGCTGTCATGGCACAGTTGACCCAGAATCATATTATGAAAATTGCCTGTTTGATGCATGTGCCAGTAATCACGATATTGATTCATGCATGTGTGGTGCTTTCACCGCCTATGCTAACGAATGCAGCCGTCGTGGCAATGTTATCGAACAATGGAGAGAGTCGATTCAAGAATGCGGTAGGTGTTAATTTACTTTTCTTCTGAAAAAGGGATTTCACAACATATTTTTATATTAAGTTTCTAAATTCCATGTATTTTCATCAATTCTCCTAGCAATCAAATGTCCAAAGGGTCAAATTTACCAAGAATGCTCCAAGTCATGCTATCACAGCTGTGTTGATTTGATACTATATCCCAAAAATTGCACCAGAGACTGTGTCTCTGGATGTCGTTGTCCACAAGGCAAAGTTCTTGACGAGAAAGACGAGTGCATCCTAATTGATATGTGTCCTCTAGATCAAAATCTTCCTACATTCAAATGTCAACCGAGACCTGATCCGATTGGTACAAATCAAACATGGTATGTTTCTATAATAATTTCCATCTCACTCAAACGCGGACAAAATGATTTAAAGCTGATTCCAAATGAATGTAATTTATATCTCAATTTTATTTTTATTTTAATATCAGCACATGCATTGGAACTGAGTGGGAATGTGTTAACAGTGTGGATGACCATACTCCAACGCCTCAAGGTAAGATTTTTGGCATTTATTTATTTCTCAAGTTTAATCTAATTTCAATCATTAGGTATTGATTCAAGACCATGCGAGCCTGTCTCACTGAACGCAACACAAACAGTTGGTATAGTACAAATAACAGGTGCAGTGTATGGAACATGCGTCAACACAGGGCCGATTCGAGGATATAAAGAATGTCGTGGCACATGTGAGCTAGTTACTTCATACACCGGATTAACAAGGAGAATATCTCATGAAGAAAAATGTTGTTCAATGTCGAAATATGAGACAGTGCAAGTTCCATTACTATGTGAAAGCGGCATTAAACTGATTTCTTCTGTACATGTAGCAAAAGAGTGTTCCTGTCAAAACTGTGATTAGTGTTGGGAAATTTTATAATAATCGGATGCCAGTTGCTCTTTAATAGAAGATTTACCAACTTTAAACCTAATTTTGGCTAACATCAAGTTCAAATCAACCACGTGAATATTTTTTGAAACATATTGCATCTTATTGAAATGTTACGCCTGAAAATGTGTTTCACCTGCAAAAACTGTGCATCAAATATTCCTCTGTATTTGGATATCAAATTTTTGATGTGTTGCTTGAGAAACACTTTATCATAACTCACATTTCGATATGATGCCATAATGTTCCACTAATATTTTCACGACTTCAAAATCATACATTGAAACTGTCACATGAAAAATATTATGTTGGTTAACGTTGAAATAAAATATGAGAATGTATTTAAACTGAATAAACGGCTAGTAAATTTTATTATATTTTTGCGTGAAAATGAAATTCTTGGCAAAGGCAAGTTCACGACCAGAGAATTTCTCCTTCGAAACCAACACTGCCTGCGATTCCACGGACTGATATGAATAGAAAATGGAAGAATGAAGATGTTCCAATTGTTCGATTTCCATTTCAATCGAGGTTTGAACGTTAGCTGTTTAGTAGCCTTTTCCGTGTTTTCTTGAGCATCTATCAACAAGAGACACTTTGTTTGAAAAAATAAAAAAAGTGTCATTTACGAGGCCTTGATTGTATAACTCTTTAACAAACTAAAACGCTGCAATTTCCTCTTTTTTAATATTTCAGCACTTGCATTGGAAAGGAATGGAAGTGTAACGACACAATTGTCACAACCACAGAATCAAATATTGTCAACCCAACAGTTGAACCAATCAAAGTCACCACCACTGCCAACAAACTGCCAAGTCAGTACAAAAGATAGTGCCGGCACATCGTCCAACATGAAATATTCATTTGGAATTTATTTATTTATGTTAATGTTTTCATTCATCTTTTCGAAATCGTTTTAAAACTATCGATCACCATGAAATATATGGCTCATAATGAAACAAATTTTTCATTCAAATAAAAGTGTCAATAGAATTTAGATTCAACTTTTCCGATCATTAATATTAGGTCAATTCGAAAGTTTCCGCCGTTTTTTCCATTCAAACATACATTTATTTCAATGATAAAATTAAAATATAAGCTAAATACATTATTGTCTATCGGAGGCGATTGCATTTGCCCATCTCTCAGTAAAATGACAAAAAAAAATTCGAAAAAATAACGGTAGTTTTGAGGTTATGTAAGAAAAGACCCATTTTTTGGTTTTTTGAAAATAAGTGGACCGTTCTCCACTTAGGTGGTCCGGAATCATTTGAAACCGGTGCTATTCAGAAAGAGCAATGTTCGGAGAATTCGCGGGGGACATGACGAGTTTTCAAAATTAATTGCTTCTTAGAAATTTTGGACTTGGTTGGTAAAAAGTCATGAATTTTTGTTTCCTCAAAGAGTTTTTTACGGCAAAGAGCAAATTTATCAATTCTGTGGTCAGAAATTGGTATATAACGGTTATTTATTGTTGAAAACGATCAGAGCTAACATTTGGAAAAGTTTTTACCACTTCAAAATGTACCCACCCCGCAAAATAGAAAAAATACGCGTTTTTGAGGGAGTGATTGCTGCACCCTCTATATTGACAAGAGGTGATGACCAAAATATGATTTTTTTTTGCTTGAGCTATTGAGAAAGGTTCATTCTTTATTATTCGATAATATTCGATGATCTTCAGCAACAGTTTTCTTGAAATCAGACAACAAAAAAAGGCCCCTCGAAAAATACCATATCACGACCGAATTTGAATCGATTCAAAAACAATGACGCCGTATGAAAAATGAAACTTTCTGCTCTGAATTAGATTGCTAAATGTCACATCTACAAAATGCAATTGGATTCACTTGTCAAGCTAAGCACAATCTTAAGTGGCGACATCTAAATGTCAGCGGCGGAAACTTTCGAATTGACCCATATGTACTTATACACTCTTATAAAATTCATTTTCAACCCAATACAAAATTATCACAACAAAATGCCAGTTTTCTAAGAATTTTTGCCATTTTATTAAAGAAATTTTTCAGCTACATAAACTTTATCTTCTATTGCGATGACATCTAAAGGTTATTATTTTTTATATCACAAGAAATTCCCATTAAAAGTAAAAATTCCAACTAAACGGTTAATTATTATGATGCGGATGCTCACGAATCTTTCAGGGATGTCCAACAAAAAGTATCAACAGATATTAAATGTTCCTTTCACTCTCAATAAATCACATATATTCCAACAAAACTGTATACGATTTGTTTTCGAATGCACTGGTATGATTCAGGAAATCATCATTTAACAAGCAATATTGAATTGAAACCCGTCTGTGAAAAAAAACACACTGAATAATCGAAGTTATGAATCGATTGCCACCTTTGACCTTGAGTAATAGTTGCCCATTGTGATCGGAAATTTGGTTAATAATAAGAATTATAAAGTCATTCCATTGCCAATAAAATGGCAGTTAACGCAATTATGAAATGTTCTGAAGCATCGAGTTGATTCTAACAACCATGTAACGAACATAATTCAAAAATATCCACACCTGGGCAATTACTTTATTATATTTCCAATCGATATATTCTTAGAAATCAATACAAACACATCATGTATTCCAACATCTCATCATAAGCAAAGTCATTCATACAAAAAAATGTAAAAAAAAAATAAGTTTAATGAAATATCTCTCGTTGTTTACGATTTTTTTTTGCTTATTTGCATTATCACGATTTCATTCAAACGACTTTAATCAAGCATTCAATCTCGAAGACTCCGTCGAGTCGGAGTTATAAAAGCATCTCGCTGTTGTTACACACAACAGTATTCAATCAACGCCCGAGGTGTAATCGAACGAACATCAAGTGAGACAAAATTGTTGCTAAATTAAGTGCTAAATAAAGAAATGCTGTTTGAATCACAGCAATAAAATACAATATTTTGGTTTTGTTTTCTCGCTGTAATTGGATTTATTTGTTGAATAAAAATGTGGTCCATTTTAGTTCTTGCTTTATTATGCCTTCATATCGGATCCGGTGGCACAAGTCGCATCGACGATATTCGATCGCAGTAAGTTCTTTTGCCGAGTTGTTCCAGTGTAACTAGAAAACTATAGTGTACACTTAATGGTTTTTCCCATACAGTAGGTCAGGCTATTTTTTCAAACAGTCAACAAGACAGTTTTGCATACGTAAATTTACACAGCTCTGTGCATTTCATTGCACATGATTACGTAAAGATATGAAATCAATTAATCGCAAACAAACTTTTGATTTGAGTCATGTCATCAAAAGGGAAAGACCAAACACAACAACAGTTCAAATTGATAGTGCGAAATTGAATCGTTATCGCACGTTATGACATTTCCGTATTCATTTCTCTGTATCCCCTATGCACTATCTCTTAGTAATTAAACAGTGTTTATTTTGAACATATTTTTTCCACAGACAAAGGGGTTATGGTTCACAACCTCTACAGAATGGTGATCGCGGATACAATAACCAACCTCAGCAAGCATACAATTCACCGCAAGCACCACAAAATAATCGAAATCCATCAGAATCTTCATATAATCGTAGCCCGTCGGAACCTCAGAATAATCAAAATCAACCAGCTGAACCATCGAAAAGTTGTACTAAGCCAAAGCCATTTGTGAAGAATGCGTTTAAAAAATGTTCAACAACTACAAACAGCTGTACCGTACAGTGTTTCAACAATCATCAATTCGCAAATGGGAAAACCAGCGTAAAACTGCTGTGTAATAATGGTGAATGGGCTTTGGAGAACTTTCAAAAAACAGACAAACTCGCTTGTGAACGTAAGTGAATGAATGAAAAGAGACGTGTTATTTGTAAATAAGATTCTATTGTTTAAAATTTGATTGTAGTGAAAAAGAAGAATAGTTGCCCGAATAAACCAGCTACGCAGCAGGCAGAAGCCAATTGTAAAGCGGAAAGTTGTACGATCACTTGTGAGAAAGGTTACGCATTGTCAGATGGCTCGACATCTATGGAAATGATGTGCAAAGATGGAGAATGGGTGCCAACCAATCCAGAACAATCTTTTCCACTGACATGTGAACGTATGAATTCATTGAAAGAATTGAAAATTTACTCTTTTTGAATATTTACTCCAAACTGTGTATGATTTTTATTTCATTGGATTAATTTGAATTTCAATTGTTTCCGAAGCATTGTGTGAAAATGGTCGCGAGTACAAGGAATGCAGCAAAGTGAGTGAACAAAGCTGTGGCAGTGCTGCCGAGGAAGAAACGTCATCAAGTGAGTGTTTCGAAGGTTGTTTCTGTCCGGATGGTACCGTTGAAAATGAAGGAGAATGCATCCCAAAGGAAAGTTGCCCGTGTACTTTGAATGGTCAGACGTATGAGCCCGGAAGTGAAGCAACAAAGGGATCCAGCAACTGCAAGTGTGAGAAGGGTCAATGGAAATGCGATGAACGTGAAGTTCAAGAACATGATCACTCATCTCCAGAACAACCTCCTCAACAACGTCCACAACAGCCTCCTCAACACCGTCCACAACAGCCTCCCCAACAACGTCCACAAGAATTGCCTGAACAATCTCCGGAACAAGCACCGCAGCCACCACAAAACGATGCCCGTTGCGAAGTTTTCGGTGATCCGCATTACATAACCTTCGATGGAAAGCGTTATGATTTCATGGGAAGATGCTCTTATTATCTTATGCGTATGCCACATATGGATATTATTGCAGAAAATGGAGATTGTCCGTGTAAGTGTTTGAGTGTTTCCTTGATTTCGCTTTAAACTTGAAAAGTCTCGTTTTAAATTTCTTTCATTTTTCCACGATTCTTATCTAGGGGGTCACAATGATCAAGTATCATGCACCAAAGCGATAATGATGCATGTACCGCAATCATCAACGTTGGTACGAATGGATCAAAGAGGAAGAGTTACAGTGAATGGAATCGATGCAACACGAAATCTGCCGATAAATCTTTTAGGTGGCTTCATGCACATCCGACCCGTGAGTCAAATGGCGCGTCAAGTTTCATGCGCAGATGGCCTGGATATGATGTGGGATGGCTACACTTATGCCTATATCGATGCTCCTGCTACACATAGCAACAAAACAAATGGTCTTTGTGGAAACTTCGACAATAACCCTGAAAATGATTTTACCACACCTGAAGGTGATGCCGAAGTATTATCTGAATCATTTGGTGAAAAGTGGCGTGTAAAAGAACTCTGTGATGCCGATCAAGAGCAAATAAATAATCAACATCCATGCCAAGCAAACCCGCAAAATCAACAGCAAGCCGTTCAAGTTTGTTCAAAGCTCAGAAGTAACATTTTTGCAGCTTGTCATCAATACGTCGATCCAGAGCCATATGTGGAGAATTGCATGTATGATATGTGCGCATGCAAAGGAAACCCAGCACAATGCAAATGCACCATTTTCTCGGCTTATGCAAACGAATGCAGTCGTAATGGCAAAAATATCAATTGGAGACAATCAATTAAAGAATGCGGTACTTACTAAAATGATTTGTAAACGATTTATTATCAATTTAAATGGAAATTTTGAATTGAAAGATAAAGAGAATTTGATTTAAATTTCGTCACAAGTAAACTTAAGTTACTAACATGTTGATGCAATAGACGATTGTAAAAACAATAGATTCTTTTTGAGCAGTATTTTACGAAAAGTATTTTCTAACAATATTATTTTCTTCGGTTTTTTATTTTACTAACGTGTTTACGTGAATAAGATTAAAGTAAATTCAAGCATTTGTCAATCAATTTATTTATTTCCATTTTGAACTTTTCCCTGTTATTAACGATACATTTTATTGCGTGTATTTTTAGCTGTAAAGTGTACAGCCGATCAAATATTTCAAGAATGCTCAGATCGTTGTCATTTAACCTGCACTGATTTGCAAGCAAAATCGAACAAATACACCAAAAAGTGTGTCGCAGGCTGTCAGTGTCCAATCGGAAAAGCTCTCGATGCAAATAATAAATGCATTCCAATCGAAATGTGCCCTAAGGAACCTGAATCAACTACCATACCAAGCCAAACAACCGAAGCTACCAAACCTAGCCAAACAACTGAAACTACGGTGCCTACCAAACGAACCCAGCCCACCGATTCTACTTCACCTACTGAGCCAACCGAATCTATTGAACCAACTGAGGCAGAAATGTCCATTAAACCGTCCAATTCACCCAATCTTATTAGACCAATCACACCTATTACACCAGAACAGTCAGCTAAGCCAAATAAAGTGACTAATCCGATGAAGACAACGAGGCCAACAAAGCCAACTAGACCAACTAATCCCACTAAACCAAGCGAATCAACTGAAGCAACTGAACCAAATAAGCCAACGGAATCGACTGAGCCAAGTAAATCAACTCAACCAGATGAGTTAGATGAGGTAACTGATGTAACGGATCCAGCAGATAGTTCGGTAACAACCGATATGTCAGAGGTAAGTGAAACGACTGACACCAATGATGAAACTAAACAAAATGAGTGCTCGGATGAAAAGAATGAAAGAATGTCCATATGTATACCGGATGAGCCAAAAACATGCGCCAATATGAATAATTACACTTCGAAACCGACTGGAAAGTGCAAAACAGGCTGTGTGTGTAAAGATGGTTATGTACTTGATCAAAAGTTGAACCAGTGTGTAATGCCAAACTTTTGCTCGTGTGAAAACAAGGGAAAATGGTACATTTTTGGTGCTCAAATCAAAAATGGATGCAAAGCGTGCATTTGTCACGGTGGAGAGTGGTATTGCAGGAATACATGCCAAAACAAAAAAGACACTGATAAAAATGGTCCAGAAACAAGTGTAGATAATGAAGACGCAAGTGTGGAACAAGATGGAAATATCGATCAAGGTCAAAATCAAAACTTGAACCAAAAAAAGCCAACGGAGGATAAACCACGGAAGAATAGGGATAACAAAGAAAGTAAGACTTTGATCAAGAAATGATAATGAAGTAGAACTGTATTTAATTTTCAATTTTTATTCCAGACACATGCCAGCCAGTGCCGATGAACGAGTCGGAAACTATTGGTTTAATAGAAATTTATTCCGATTACGGGCGATGTGTCAATGCTAAGCCGATTCAAGGTTTTGCTGAGTGCGGCGGTGTGTGTAATTCGAAAACAACATTCAATCGTGCAACAGGCCGGCAAGAACAAAAATGTGAATGCTGTTCAGTGTCAGAATTCGATAAAATGGAAGTGGCCGTCGAGTGTGATGATGGGTCCGAACAAATTGCATTGGTGTCAGTGCCAAAATCATGTTCGTGTGTTCAAGGCTGTGGCGGTGTTGGTGGATTCAGTGGCGGAAATGGAAATTCATACCAAAGTAGGGACATTGAACCAACCGAAAATTCGGAAGAAACGGACAACAGAAGGAAAGTCGATGCTTTGGGTTGGTTGGTTAATCTGAACAATTTGGTGAATAGCCGCAATTTAAGGGTTAGATACACTAATTGATGACGAGAAAATATAAAACCAGAATATCATTAGGAATGTAGGACATAAAATGTTTAGATAGTTCCATATTGAGTAAATATTGTGAGTAAAAAAAATGAATATTAGGAATAAAAGTCTCTTTGTTTGATTGATGTTGAACATACCATATTGATTTGCATCTCCACGTTTCACAACAAACATAAATATTATGAAAATATATAACTCGCCATCGGTTCTTTAGATGGTGCTTCGGTCAACCGAGTTCCAACCGAATACATGAATCAGTATACGAAGTATTTCACTGTTGCATTATCATGACAGTTGTGCTATTTCAATTGAATATGGTTAGAAGATAAAATTCAAATACATTTTTTTTGGAAAATGAACGATCATTTTTTTTCACAGGAACTTCAAGAAGAAAATCCCGACAATGTTGTCAGTTTAAATGTAATGTTCATTCAACTGATATTCAGCTTTGCATTCTGTTATTATGCAAACAATGTAGTAACGGTTCTTTCGTTGCAATTTGCCGATGTTGCCTATACCATGCCTTGGTATCGAATGAAAATTGAGGAACAACAAATGTTGAGGCTTGTAATTCGTCGCTTCGATTCGTTGCACATTTAGCTTTGATGGACTTGGAATTATTGATTGCTCAATGCCCACTTTTCAAACTGTCAATGCCCACTTTTGTACCAGAATTTTAGTCAGAATACATCATTAAAACATTTTTATACAAACACTTTCAGCTCTTGAAAACCGACCTTTCCTACTTTTTAATATTGCGACAATTGAACAGCTAATCGGCTAATTGGTTAACTGAAGCATTGGTCGTTATTTTAAATGTTGCACCTTGTTCCTAATAGATCAATGTCTTATTTCCCTTTAAAATACACAATAATGGTTGTGAAAATGAGTTGAGGGAAATAACGTTGACCGTTATTGTAATTCAATGTCGTAACTTGTTCATTACTGTGATTTGTTTCTCTTTCTTGCCACACCAGTCTTTTATCCCTCTTTCACTTTATTTCGACTATTTCGTTTGCTCTCTCTTTTAGAACAGAAAATTCGACATAAATCCGAATTAATTCTTCATTTCGATTACGAGTGTTCAAAACCAGTTTATGCACGGACATCATTTATTCAGTCCATCTTTTTGTTCAAAAAACTTTTTTTATCACAAAAAATGATGTGATCCATTAAATATTCACATGTTCTATATAAGTGAAGAGAAATCATATTGATGTTATAGAATACTTTTCATGAAAATCCCAATCTCCATCACCAAATGATTATTTATTCAACGAAATAGAAATTTAAAATGCCTGTTTGAATTCACCATACCACTATGTAACTATTAAAATATCTTTTTATTATAGATTTTGTATGATACGTGGTTAAACGTTAACGTTGAACCTTGGAAAATATTGTGTTTTAAAATTAATAGATAAAAGTTTCGTTTTAATGTTAGCTGAATATGAAGTTTGATGAAAGTTCAGGCTTGTTTCCATTTCTGCGTATCGTGTAATAATTACCGAGACTATCAAGCCCGAGACAGGCTCATCTGTACCGTACACACATTTCTCTTTGAGCCATTTTCTTCCTTCTCTGTGTGTATGTTTTTTTGATGTGCAATTCAATTAAAAGCGATCATCAACAAAATAAATACAATCCGTTTATTTGAGGAAAACTCTATCCGGACTCAAGCATACTTTTCATCTGTTTTTGAAGCGTTCAACTCTTGAAATTCAACGGTACAAACAGATTTTGCACATCCATCAAGCTACTGATGATGGTTAACAATATTTAAATAACGAAACCATTATTATCAAAGGAACGTCATTTATTCTCAGGTGAATTTAATGGAAATCATGTATTTTCACATCACAGCTACCAAATAAAATTCTCTGTATATGCTTTGCTTTCCCGATGTATGTGTAACCCAAATTATATATTTCGTAAATTAAAAATAAATGAATTTATTCCGGTTTCATTCTTTTTCTGACTTTTATTCTTTTCGAATTCATTCGATATTCCCGTTTGCAATGTTTGTATAACGAACTAATGAATGGAATATACAGGAGAAAAAAGGATTGCGGCGAACTGTTTGGTTTTGTCAATCAATGCTCCTCAAAGGGATCCACATCATCAGCAAATGCTACAACATTCACATGAGTACACAACACACAAACCAAATCAAATTCGTACTCAACCGAATCGCTTCTTACATTAAACGTATACAGTACACGATTCTAATTATTTTTTTCCATTCCCTCATCCCCATTTTGACGCATACACACACTTTATCTACTACGATGGAGTACATTTTTGATTTACACTCTCTGCGTCAATTTAATAAATAAATACTTGTATCTAAAAATGGTACATTTTAATTATGTTTGCCGGTTTTTTGCCCCACAGCACTCTGCCAGTCCGCCTCCAAATGTTTGCTTGATTAGAAAAATACACTCTTTCACTCTTGAATCTTTTTACATTTCGCTTTTGTGCACGTTCGTTTCAGCTAATTTTGCGAATATATATTAATTAGTAAATCTACCATAGTTTGTAAACGTGTACATCAAAGGCCAGACCTTCATAGAAAAACACCAAAATGCCAGTTCGTTTGAAAGCAGGTTTTTTTCCTCAGCAGAACTTTTGTTCTGTACAAGTTTTACAACATGTTTTCCCTATTGATTGTTCGAATTCAGAAAGTTAAAACGTGCAACATTAATGTCATGTTCAGCAGACGAAATTTGCCTGTTTTTCCAGATTATATTCTCTGATATTCCGATTCTTTGGAATTGTTTAATAATTTATGACTTGTAAGTTCAGCCGGTGGCGCGTCACATCATTTTCACTCGTCTTTTTATCTGTAAGATAATAATCGTAAAAAGAAATTTGCAACTTGCAGTTAGTTCTCTTTCGCCGTAACCGCAATTTGTATATATGAAATGTGTCTCGAGTGACAGGCATCTGGTCAAAAACAAACATGTAACACACAACATTTTTGTTCAACTTCTGCCGAGTGAAACGACGGTTTTTGACGGACGATCCATACTAAAATGTCAGTTAACTGACACATTTTTACACCCTTAACTTGGGAATAACAACTCAAATGCATACATTAAATGCCAATTGCGAAAGCAATAAAGACGCTGAAGAACACATTTTAAAGGTGGATACAGAAGAAGAGGGCTTCTAAAAAGGAGTAAGATGTAGATGGAACACTACATTGTAATGCACATCACTGATATTTGACTTTGAGGTGTAAATACAAACGAAAATAAACAGAAAAGCTTGATTACTACCTTCAAGTTATATGCAGTTCTGGTGGTTTTACACTGAGACACATATTTTATTTCGGAAAAAAAATCATACATTCTACTTCGCAAAATAACACACTTTATTTGATTGCGTTTGAATATTCAATTCAAGCGTAATGCACGCAAGATCAGGTACAATGTAGTCGGTATTCGACAATGTTCGATGCAAATACTTAAGGTACTTGAAATAATTCCAATAATCCAAAGAAATCCGAAGAATTTTCGCTCCAAAAATTCCATAATATAATCAATGATGAATCAAAATCAAATGAAAAACAGACATTTCTTCGTAAATTCACATGATTTTGATTCTTTTTTTTTAAACTTTAAAATAAAAAGAGGTCAATCAAACATACGTAAAGCTGAAGCATGCTTCTATGTTAGCCATTATCGACTATTATTATTTAATCCCATGACCAAAATCTTTTCATCGGCATCCGAACAAAGCAATAACATAAAACCGATTTTTGGCACAACCAATTTATATCTTTCATGCATGAGTAATGCTCAATGACTGCAAAACTTATTTTTATTATTAAAATACGTTGTCGATTATAAGTTATTCAACGTATAAATATATAAATTTCAAGTGGCGTTTCTATTATTGGCGATATTTTCCTATTCATAAATAATATGGTCTGTCGCAATAAAAGAATGGGCCCAATGTAAAACCGAAGTATTTTAACTAAACCGTTTGGCAAAAGGTTAAACCCATTGCTGGACTGAATGGTTTATATTTTTTTCTCTGTTGGTAATGTTAAAATCTACGGTAAAATATCTTCTCCGACCACAAAAAGTAGCCGGCGAACAAAAGAGGCAGTGAACTAAGCGCCAATAAAAATCAACTACGAGAAGTAGAGAAAAATGTTTCGAATGTTGTGGTTTGTTGGTTCTGAATACACCATTTTTTTTCTCTATCTCTGTATAAATGTTGGCTCTGCATACCGTAGCATACAGAAAATAAGCAGAGAGAGTAAAATGTAAAATGAACGGAAGCGATTTGCGGAAATGAAATAGATGAAAAGTGTGGTTAAAGTTGAGAGAAGAAAAAAACATGAGACGATTTGTGTTTGTGTATGTGTGGATTACATTCGCACTTGCTGTATGCATTTTTGTTATGATTTGATGATTATTTGCGAAAAAAGGTCGCGTTAAATAAACCGCATCAGTACAAGTGACCGCAAATTCCGACAGAGAAAAAAAAACAGAATTACACAAATCCCAAATCGGAGCGCAGAGATACATATCCCAGTAGAGGGAAAAAAAGAACCAAGGAATGATACATCCAAAAAAAACGAATTTGAACACTGAATGAATTATAAATACCGACAATGAGAACGGTTTTGTGTGCGGATTTTTGTAGAGAATGCTTACATTTTGGCATTTTTTTGTCTCGTTATTTGGTAGCTTTGTTTAATTCAAACCGATTATTCGTAAAATGCGACCAAATGAACTGTACATTGCCTCAGAATGTTGAGTTTTCTTCAGCCGTGACCTTTTTCTCTCTCCTTCCTTCTCTCTTATTACAAAACATTGTTTTGTTTAATTTAATATTGCATTTTTGTTGAACCCTTTTTATTCTCGATTCAAATTATAATCCGCTTTTTTACAGCTGGTTTTATAGTGGAAACAACCGTGGAATATTTCTCTGCAATAAATTTTTGTGCAACAAAAAAAAAATCTAAAAGGATTTGTATTTGATATTCCGTTATTTTTGAGCCGACCAAAAATATACTCGAAAGTTGAATGGCCCGTTGTCTATTTAATACTTTTTCGTCTACAGACACTTTGTGGCTTTCGCGTTGCTAGAAAATGTTCGGCGGGCATGTTGATTTTCC